CCCTAATATATATATATATATACATATATATGTACATATATATATATGTATATATATATATATACATATATATATGTATATATATATGTGTATGTTTATTAGATACTCAATACGCCATATAAAATACAAATCTCATTATATCGCTCAGAATGTACTTTATTCAATGACTATATATATATATATATGTATATATATATATATATATACATATATATGTATGTATGTATGTATTTTGATAACAGAACGTCAGAAAGGATTAGTTACATTTTTATCATCAAAATAATCCAAATATATTTAAAATGTTTATTTTTTTATTTTTAATTTTTTTCTTTTTTGCAAATTTTTAGTTACAGCTACAAATATCTTCGGAATAACATTGGCGTTTACTGGGGTGGGTGGTCAACCAGTGTCTTTTACAAGTGATTTACTAAATAAAGTATCTGACCTGTTCATGAAATACCAGAATTACCTGTGCTCTGCTGTAAGTAATCCATGTCTCTATAGTGTTAAACATTATAAATTGAGAGCTGTGCTACATGATACATCATGTCCTTTATTCGAACGCTGTAATGATACCTTTCTTTGATTATTATTATTATTATTATTATATATAACATATATATAACATATATATATATATATATATATATATATCACATAATAAACATGCTCAATGCAAGTATGTTAGAAGTAAAAAAAGTCAGACTGTGTAGGCAGTACATATGAGCAAATTGTAGACACTTTCGCAACCTAAAGGAAAATGTCACCTATATAATTTTCCAATCTACTAATATTTTTTTACTACAATATTTATTATCGTGTTATCAAGTATGCATTCTTGATTTTTTTTTTTAATTTCAAAGATATCCTCCACCGTCTCGGATGTGTTGACATGTCGGGTAGTAGAATTTCGTAACGGAAGTATTGAAGCAGACGTTGAACTTGGCTTTTCAGACCTAACTGTAGCTGGTAACGACGTTGAATCCGAACTTAGAAATGCAGCTGCCGGTGGCCTTCTTGTCACAGAAGATAATGTAACCCTCACGGTAGATCCATTGACTATCCATCTTATTGGTATGTACGAACATTATAACAATATTATGGTTTCATTCTTTAGCTTTTGAAATGTGTCAAATAGTGCAAATACATTTTCCCTCCAATTTACAACCACATTTGGGACCTGAAAATTTGGGCTGGTCTAAGGTTTGGTCTCCAATTAGAGGTTTAGCTTTGTGTTAAAAGATTGATATGAAACTGAAGATTGATATGAAACTCGTTATTCGGGTCTTTGGAAAAGTGGTCTTCAATTAGAGAGGTCTCGGAATAAGAGGGGTCTTGAAATTAGAAAGGGGTCTCGGAAGTAGCAGGGGTTACGAATTGCAAGTTGCAATGTACTTAGAAAAAGAATTAATGTAGTCATAGGTACGGTGGCCCATAAGTGTCACTACAAATCAAATAACATTTCACGGTAATTCTTTTGAAAGACCACACGGCAATTTAAAAAAAATAGGCTCACAGCGGGAGCATGTGTCTATGCCCTGCCTTACTGTATTATATTTACTATTAAATTATTCACATGGGATTCGGTTATCAGGAAATGTGTGGTGGTGTATTTTTTTTATGAATTTTGTACAGTAATAAGGTACGTAAGATGACACCATCACCCATCATGCACCTCCAACGGATTTACCCTTTCAGCCATCTTTAACTGGGCATAGACACAAAAACAGTCTCGGACAATTTAAAATAAAGATCACGACAACTTTAGTTAGGAAAGCTTCATGGGAAATGTACGTCACTTACTCTGAAACTCGCATGTAATATTTAGCTTAAGACTTACTGATCTTCATGTTTATGCTTTTTCCAAGACCGTCACTCAATTTAAATACACTTTTATTAGTAGTTTTTTAAAGACAAAACTGAAACTTAAGTTTACAAAAATACAGAGAAATTTATATACATAATAAAGTAGTCAGCCTCAAAAATTATCAAAAATTCAATAACTTTGTTCATTATCAATGTTATTTTTATAATATTTGTATTTAAAGGCTTATCATTCCATTATAAAATAAGATTTTATTAAATAAATAGAAAAATAATAGAATAAATCGATTTTCTGTTGCGTAAATAAATAAAAAAATATTTTAAAAGGCGTTAGAAAAAATACCTCTAGAAACAAATTAATAAGACATACTATAAAAGCTCCATTCAAACATTATTAGCAGTATGAATTTGCATCAAATAATAATTTTAATAATAAATAAATCGCAGATTCGTTTACAAAATCAATTTTTGTTTGATGAAAAATACATAGAATGTTGTATACTAAAATATATAATTAGTCTTAACATAGATTACTGTCAATAACATCATAAATATTATACTATCTTCAATATCGATTTTGTTTATAAAATCAGTATTGAAAACATTATTGTCTACATTACAAATAAATTCATAATTATTAAATAAAATAAGATCAGTATTTTGTTACGTAAAGAAATTACTTTGAAACAAATAGAAAATGTGTTTTTTTTTTTTAGAAATAAATAAAATACATATTACAACAATGATAAACGTATTACACACTAAAAATGCGTACAAAATACTGAATGCCGTATTTGCATCATATAATATAATTATTATAATATGTTTTACTATCATGAATGTTTTGTTTTTACAGGTGGTACAACGGTCCCAATGCAAATAACAGGTTCGTTTATTCGTCATTTATTCATTCACTTTTATTTCAGATGACGATACATTTATAGCAATTGTACACAATCATAATAAGAGTTATTATAGTGTTACATTTATATAGCGCATGGAGGATCATAGGTCACATTTGGCACTTTTATATTGATAATTGATATTATAAATAACTATACAATTAGTATATTTTTAGAATTATGAACTATTACCGGAATTATAATGAGTTGTTTCTCTATACGAAAGTTACAACTGTATCGTGTGACTCAACTGTAATGGTCAACATAATTAATGAGTTTTATACTGGTGGTATAAAAATATACTTACCTACCACTCACATGGTTGGTCACTTTTTTAAAATTAAACATCACATTTTCGACTTGCTTATAATATAATCATTAAAATAGATTTTACTATTATGAATGTTTTGTTTTTACAGATGGTACAACATTCCCAATGCAAACAACAGGTTCGTTTATCCCTCATTTATTAATTCACTTTTATTTCAGATTACAATACATTTATAATAATTGAACGCAATCATAATAATAAGAGTTATTATAGTGTTACATTTATATAGCGTATCATATGTCACTTTTGGCACTTTTATATTGATTATTGATATTATAAATAACTATACAATTAGTATATTTTTAGTATTCTCAACAGTTACCGGAATTATAATGAGTTATTTCTCTATACGAAAGTTACTACTGTAACTGTACTATCATGTGACTCAACCGTAATGGTCAACATAATTAATGAGCTTTATACTGGTGGTTAAGATATTTACCTACCACTCACAATAAAGATATCAATAATAAAGAAATAATGATAATAATAATAACAATAATAATAATAATAATAATAATAATAATAATAATAATAATAATAGTAATAATAATAAAAACTCTTTTATAATAAATATGTATTATTTCGACAATTCGTACATTTGTTGCAATACAAACAACAGCCTTGTTTATCACTAAACAACAGTTTTATAACGATAACGTAAATATATCACACATTATATTTAACATCAATAGTGAACATAACTCGTTATATGAGATAGACCATCAACTGTCTCTTATACACATCTAGATGTGTATAAGAGACAGTAACATACGCTTTCTCATGTTCTGAGTTAAAAAAAACAGTTCCTACACCACATTTGCATCAAATAGCCCCTACTTTATACTTAGTAGTAAGATCTGTAAACTTGATATGGAGTCTGAAAAGTATAAATCTAACCTATCTAATACCTGGAATATATCGTTTCTTTTATTTATTAGGCCTATTATTATTTTTTTTTTCGTTTTCAGATGTCCCAGAAGGTTGGTATACAATCATCTTCCTTTTGTCGTAAATACAATGAGATCACTCTCGTCGGTACTCTTAAAGCTTGGTTTCCATTCGGTCGCTACACGCTACTGCCGACAGCTTTCGGTGAAGCTCGGTTTCCATAAAATCGCTCACCCTATCGGCGATAGTCGCCGACTCGGGAAGGTTGAACCTAGTTCAACTTTGCCGATTGCGTTGCAGACGAATCAGGGTGCATTACTAGCTGCCCTGACGGAATCGGGTCATCCCGATTCGTGTGCAACGCAATTTTCAAAGTTGAACCAGGTTCAACCTTTCCGTCAAATGTCGGCGAATATCGCCGATAAGGTGAGCGATTATATGGAAACCGATCTTCAAGCTGATTGGTCGGTTGAATATGGGAGCTTTCCTGATTGCGTCGGACTGCTACGCAGTACAACAATCGCGCTCAAATCACTGTAGCGACAGTGTAGCGATTGTATGGAAACCAAGCTTAAAAGGTAAAGGTAGGAGAACAACCTATAACTTGCAGCGTCATTGTGCTGAATTGCGTATGGACGTGGTCCGTGACTGCTTAGCAGCCGTAAATATGGGCTTCATGGTAGATACATGTTCACAGTCCACAACGACAGGGGCTGAAATGAACCATAACATCGGGGTAACCCCCTACTCTTACGAAAAATGCAATGTGTTCTTTAAAGTGCACACGAGCGAGATGTATACACTGGACCTCCAGTAAGTCCTTATCCGAGAAGACTTGGTTCTACCAACCGAACCATGGGGCGAGGAGTGTTAAGGATGTAGTTAGGGTTGTCCTGCCTTACCGCTCGGCCCACTCGACTAGCCTTTAACTTTATTTCTTTAACTGGAAAAAATCTACTTCAATAAATAAAGTATGATAAATTTAGTTATGGGATAATTGCGTATGAGATAGACCATCAATTTGAAGAAGTAACTTAATTGAAGATATAATACATACTCAGTAGTATGCATTATACTATATTATCTTAGAATAATCAGTGGACCTTTGGGTTTTAACTTAATTGACTTATTGTAAGGTTGCTCGAAAGAACAACTGAAAACTGTAATGATATTCAGAGCCAATTCCGACACGAATCTGTTTTAGATGCTTAATGGCTTTTGAGTATAAATGTATTTTCCAGAAAATTAAAATAATAGTTCGTATGAAGGTAGACTGGCAACATACCCAATTTCAGTGGTAGAAACATGATGATTTGTGATTTTTTTTACGCAGATGGTGGTGATAATGAAGCAACTACAGTTTTGGTCGTGGTTATTGTCGTAGCTTGCGTTTTAATATTATTCCTAATAATCAGCAGTATTGCGTGTGTTGCGTATCGAAAAAATCTGACTTACCGGGATATGCTTAACAAAAATCAATACCAGACGTATAGTAATGGAAAGGTTGTACGAAACCCCTTCCATTCCTTGCCACGCAAAATGGGTACTGGATCAGATTCTATGACGTCAGAAGAAAGTATGATGTACCGCATATCTCACACGCTGAGAAATTCGCAGATGATACCAGTAAGATTCCTTTTATTAAAATGTATTGTTAAAAACATTCTATGCTGCCGTTAAAATAATTATAGCTATTATAATATTTATTTTATTTCTATATTTCCAATAATATCCACAAATCACAGTAAATAGTAAATTGCTTGGGATTCACAAATTGCATATATAAAATTCACAAAAAGACAATAAAAAACAAATCAATACAAAGATTACAGAGAAAAAATATTTACAAGTATTTACAAATGTTTAATTTAGAAAAAAAAATGGAATAATAATAACAAATTTCGAATAAAGAAATATCATGTTGAATAAATTGCACATAGAGGATAAAATTAAGATGAAAACTATTAAATATAATATCAGAAAATGAACAAAAAAAAAATAACAAAGTGAAAAGAGTTATTAGGCCTAAAAATGCAGGTAAAAATAAAATTTGCAATCAAGCAGATTTTGCAAGGAGAAAATCATACACTGTTAGAATAACCTCGCTTATGAAAGGACTATGTTCTTAATTTAGGACTGTGTGGTGTATTCAGTAAGATATGGAATTGCCTACAATAAATAAAATATTGTTTGAATTTCTAACTTCATTACACCTTTCCAATTGTTTTCAATTGTCGATTTGTTAATTATTGATTTGTTGTACAAAATGTTTGTTATCAACTCTTTTTAATTGTTTCCTTTTTTTCTATTATTATTATTATTATTGCCGTTGAATATATCGATTTGTGATATGATCATTATTTATATTCATTTTCTAGGAGAGGGAGAGTAATTTCACTCTCGGTACAGACGAATTTGTGAGACCATACATGGCCGATGGAAGCGAGGAAATGTCGGTAAGATTTATTTCATCCACTTCTATTCAAATATATTTCTTGCATATATAATGCATATTTCTTCAAAGAAGAATATAAATGTAATTTCAATAAAATAAATTGGCCCACGTCCTAGGGTTGCTGCCTTTGAACTACAAACAAATATTTGTAAATTCCAAGGCAAAATGGAATAAGTATAATTGATAGGCCTAACTATTTTATATACACCATTTTATCGGGTCTATTTTGAAACATCGCCACCAACATCAATTTCTCACTCTCTACATTAGTAGCGAAAATAATGATGATGGTGGTGATGAAAATTACGTTAATACATGTTAATGAGAATGTACTATACATGTGAAGTAGTCTCACACATTACATCGTTCTTGTAATAAGGAAGACGAGTGAGACAGCATAACCAGATTATTATATGTTAAAAAGAGAACACGGATTACACAGATGTTAACATATATGCATTGTAGGAAAAGTTCGGGTTTGTCTTTTTTTGTTTGAAACACAAATATACCTGTACCTAACAACTTAAACAACTACAATTTCGTAAGAAATACGTGTGTTGAGACTAAAAGTTTAACATGGAATGTAATTGAACATCATTACAGATGAGCTTTTATTCTAAATTTAACAACTTTATAAACTATGTGTTCATCCTTCCAGGTGTATGGCAACGATGGATACCACCAGGAATATTATTGAGATTACAGTTAGTCAGGAAGGTAAACAGACGTTCTTTATTTTACATTTAAAACAATGCTCCGGAGGAAAAAATGTTTTTTTGATACATTGTACAACTGACGTTTCTAAGACACAAAAATTCGGGAACGTTTAATGAGACACAGATTTTTGAATATTTAAAAACTGGGGCAAAGAGTGAAAAAAGTGTTGGTTACGCCCCTTTTTCTACCAGTGTTTATATATTCAAAAATATGTACATCATTCCCGTGTTTTTCGTCAAATATGCTTTTGTGTCTTAGAAAAATCAGTTGTACAACATATCAAAAATTATTTTCCTTCAGAGCCTGGCAAAAAAAAAAAAAACACCACACATTCGTATAAAACGAGTTATAGCGTCAAAGTTGGACAACAAAATGAAAAATAAATATAGCTCGCTGCACATAAACAATATACGCTTGTATCTCAACAACGTAATATTTTTCTATCGATAATATTATAATGGGTTTACCGCCTGCTGTCGTAACCTTTATGATACTGAATGCCACTGTCGAATAAGCACGATGGTGCTTCTCAGATATATTTTTGAAAATTAGTCACAGCGATTAACCAAGAGTAAATATTATACTACATTCCTCAATATATCATATCATTGAGACTCTAATAATCTCGATCACTTTTTTGAAAGATATATATCTGCCATTTTTTAAAGATGTAAAAGTAACATTACTAACGATGTTTATAAGCGCCATTTTCAAAAATTGTTGTTATTATTTTTGTTTTTTTTTTGTATTCCACATTATCATCGACAGTTTTGTTGTAACTTGAAATAGATAAATATAAAAATCCATAAACATTATAGGCCTGCAAATATTGGTTAAGGTGAAATGTCTGCAAAATCGAATACTTTTCTTCATTATTATATAATATTTTTGAAAGAAAAAATGAACATGTATAGTGGCCAGCAACAACCACATCATAACACCAGAAATAAAATACGAGAAAATATTACCTTACTTGCCAGAAGAAGTTATCATTGATGGCTTGGTAGAGGTTGTGGTGTGGATTGGTAGAGTAGTAGAGTGGTAGTTGGAATGCTAATAGCAGTAGTAGCAGCATCAGCAGCAGTAGCAGTAGTAGCAGTAACAGTAGTAGCAACAGCAGCAGTAGCAGTAGCGACAAGACTAAAATACTGGAATAAATATTTAATTTTTATATCTATATATTTTACAGATGATGTGATCAGAGGAAGAATAACAACATAACGTTCAGACAATCGTAGACCCGTATATAACTTTAGAATACGTGATTTGCTCAGCAGTTGAATATTATATTATTGAATCAGTTGAATTATAATATTTTTTAACTAATATTGGAGATATTATTACATCCAACCTACAGTATATTCATGTGTCATTCGAATTCTTTCTTTTTTATTACAGCACTATGCTTGTAAGGAATATTTTATGAGATAAATATTGAAAGCAATGTCATCATTTTTAGCGTCTGTGTATTTGCATGAGACAAGCTTTGTGGCACATAAATTCATTGAAAACTTTTAAAGCTCAATATGTTTCTCTTCTTAATATTTTGCACTGTCTTTCTAGATATTTGTACGCACTGTACTTTTTAATATCATGACCAAACCATTATGAAGGCGCATTATGCAAAGTAAATATTTTCATATTTCTATTAAAATTCGAAGCATTATTTCATTAGCATTTTCATTTGAAGAAATTTTAAGCCAATTTTGTTGTCTTGACACTGAAACTTGGTGTTAGTATAAAACTATTAATTGAGCCATTTTCATTCTTTTAAATTGGTTTTAAAATAATCAGTGTGGATTTGATGTAATACGCTCATCCTGTCAACTTTGGCCTTTAGTCAAAGATTTATTTATTTTCTTGTTCCTGTGAAGAAGTTACGTTCACATGGGTCTTCATTCATAATTTATAAATCCTTATTCTATACTATTTTGCATTATAATATAGAAAGATCATTATATAGAAATATTTGATCATTCATTGATGGCATTACTGTATGGAAATATATACATGCTTTGTTGTTTTAATTTATTGATTGATGATTTTGTATCATATATTTGCTTTCAAAATTACTTAATAATTCGATTTTAGGTGTATTAAACTAAATGGTTAAGCAATTCTTATCGTCGTTATGATTGCTTGCCATATCCTCCTTTAAGGGATCAATTTTACATTAATTGTGTCAATTGTTTTGATCGAAACTATATTTGTCTCAAATGTGTCTCTGTAACAGTATTTTACTTTTATGTACACACTTTTTATTCGATTATTTATTTTCAAGACGATAAATATTTTGAATGGTTGGGAATGGACTTTATATATACCTCTAATAACCGCATATATAAAATAGATACTTAATTTCGTATCAATGTGAATAAATGATGTCAAATGCAGTATTATATTACTCTCTGCGTTATAGAATATATTTGTAATCTCGTGTTTACTATTTTTCTAAAATAAAAATGAATTTCCAAATAGATTTAGTGTTTGTCTCTGATTCAGAATCCATTTGAATAAAGCCGCAAAATATTCAGTGTACTCAACTGGCTTTTGTGAACCGACATCCTATTTCAAGACGAGTAGAATGTCTGTTATTTCTGCCTCACAACACCTGTCATTGTGGTAGGCTAGCGCATTTCGACACACAGGAACCCTTATGGGAATGTAGTTAGTTAAACTCTGTCCACTCCACACTTTCAAAATTAATGTTATGTGACAGGTGTTATACCTATATTTGGAAGTAATATGATTTAATTATGTCCATATATAGGCACATCACATTCATTTTTTACATAACTTAAGAGTCAATAATACTCCACAAACGTCTAAAGCTCGGACATTTCTCTCTAGATCAGAAGAAGTAGAAGCTTATTTGGTAGACCTAATACGTTTCTATTGTGTGTTGGTTACGACATAACCTTGTGTGTGTTCGTGTGAAAAAATTATATGAATCAAACTCGAGTGGTTGTACTTTAAATACGTTTTGGGCCACTAGGACCGTTAACATATGAAGCCCCACGGTATTCCCGTATAGGAGATATCTTTGTTTAAAATATAGATATCTTAGATTTTACCCAAGATATTTCTATAAACAGAGATATCTCTTTTAACAGAAATATCTCAGTAAAATCTTAACGTTTTGAATATAGGTATCTTAGTTACTAAAGATATTTGTATTTCCAATAAATCGATAATTAGACACACAATACGTTCCGATTCAACATTCATTGAGCTATAGAACGTATTAACAGATAGCGCATTGCTGGCATAGTTTTTTGAGAAACCACATGAATCCAATTATTTTCTTTATTTTTGCCTTTGTGTTAGGAAAATTTGATGTCATGCTGCTCTCAAGAAGAATTCAACAGTCTTATCTCAAAATTTACAATTAACAAGCTTAACAGTCGGCTTTATGTTTGGTAGCCTCTGCAGAAGAGGTTGCAATTGCATTCAGCAGATGGTCTTGTCTTGCAAATTGTCACTGCATATTTATGATAGCATCATCAACGTATACCGTAAACCTAGCTGTCAAAAAACATAAATGGATGGATAGATAAATGAATGAATGAATGAACGAATGAATTAAATTAAATGAAGGAATGAAGGAAATGATTAAAAAAATAAAGGAAATGGATACAGTAAATGAATGAATGAATGAATGGAGGAAATGAATGAATTGAATCGAATGAATAAACGAATGAATGAATTGAGAAAAATGGAGGAAATGAATGAATAAATGGAGAAAATGAGTGAGTGAATAAATGAATGGAAGAAATGAATGAATAAATAAAAATGAATGAATTGAATGAATGAAGGAAATGAAAGAATGAATGAAGGAATGAAGGAAATAAATGAATGAAATGAGAAAATGAATGAATGAATGAATGAACAAGTGAATGAATGAATGAATTAATTAATTAATAAAAATGAATGAAGGAAATGAAAGAATCAAGGAAATAAATGAATAAAAGGAGAAAATGAATAAATGAATTAATGAATTAATGAATGAATGAACGAATAAACAAATGAATGAATGAATAAATGAATAAATAAATAAATAAATAAATGAATGAATTGAATGAATGAATAAATGAAGGAATGAAGGAAATGAATGAAGGAAATGAATGAATAAATGGAGAAAATGAATGAATGAATGAATGAAAGAATAAACGAATGAATGAAGAAAATGTATGAATGAATAGAAGAAATGAATAAATGAAGGAATGAATGAATGGAGGAAATGAATGAATGGAGGAAATGAATGAATGAATGATTGGAGGAAATGAATGAATGGATGAATGAATGAAATGAATGAATGAGTTAACAAATAAACGAATGAATGAATGAATGAATGAATAAATGAAAGAATGAATGAATGAATGAATGGAGAAAATGATTGAATGAATAGAGAAAATGAATAAATGAATGAATGAATGGAGGAAATGAATGAATGAATGGAAAGAGTGAGTGGAAAGAATGATTGAATAAATATAAATCTAAGTTATGCTGTTCGTGTAGCCGAGTAGTTTCAATGGTAATGTGAAATATTTACATACAAATTATTGTAAGGCACGTTTTAAAAGAGTCAGTAAGCGGATGGTAATGCTTTAGATTAATATTCAGTATTGGATATTAACAAAGAGTATAGAATTGGCTCCTCTGTTTCAAATTCCTGGATCCGCCACTGATAGTATTTTGTAATTGTATATATTAAGATCAAATAATAGTAAGGAATTTTTTTGTACCCTATATTCATTTAGTCTCTAATGAATTTGTTGCCATGTGCTATGTAACTTCATGGGCACAGTATCGGCAAGGAGTCGGTAAGTTTACAATCGAAAATATCGATCCATCTCTGTGTACCCATGTCATCTATGCGTTTGCTACTATTGATGACGATTTGCACATAGCCGCTGCAGAGTGGAATGACATATCCACGACATGGTACGTAGGAAATTATGAGAAGCTTCAACAGCTAAAAAACATTAACCCAGAGCTAAGGACGATATTAAGCGTCGGAGGGTATACATTAGGGTCCGAGAAATTTACAGCACTATCGTCTAACGAAGAGTTACGTGCAGATTTTATCCAGCACGCCATCACGTTCCTGAGGGACAATGAGTTCGATGGGTTGCAAATCGATTGGCAGTTTCCAACATTCGGAACAAGTCCTCCGGAAGATAGGCAACGTCACACATCCTTGCTTGAGGTGCGTACAGTTTTGTAGTTTAATTGGCTCGGTGGTTAAGAGCCTTGCCTATCAATTCCAGTGTCTTTGGTCCAGTGTTGAATATCTGTCAACGTACGCTGCATGTTTGTGGGACATGTGCGTAGTCATAGCTATTAAACACCCCGTTCTGATTGGTCCATAATTTTACCAAAGCCATATGTTTCAAAAAACCAACAACCATAATGATAATGTTGTTTTATTAATATATCAGGTGCCACTTATAATGTACTGTATATTAGAAGATTTATCTAAACCATTATTTGCTGGAATAGATAAAATATTTTTTTTAATTATTTATAAATTCTCGTACATTTCCGGTTACTAATCTTTATAAAACCTTTCTAACCGCGTTCTTAACACACTCAGTGTTATTCATTACCACTTGACCTTATTCGATTAAAGTAATAACCAAAAGCCACTCAGACAACGCTTTAATGAGATATTTTTCTTCAGAACTTAACCTCCATCATATTAATGTTATATATAGACATAATAATCGATATCAGTATCCTGGAGAATTGGGCCAAAATCGATATTAGTTGGTGAAGGTAATAAGGATGTTAATAATAATGAAGGTGTTGATGATTATAATAATATTATAAACTAATAATAAATAATATTAATATAATATTAATAAAAAATAATTAAATAATAAATATAATGATGATGATAATAACAATCATGAGTATGGTAGTCATGATGAACAGGATGATATAAAAAAAAATATATATATATATTAATTTATTTCCATAGCTTAATTATTTATATACTGTAGCACTTCTACCGGTAAATGATTATCATGTTTTTTTTTTAAACAAAAGGACTGGTAAATAGGGCCTGTGGGTCACTGAATGTGCTGAATCATGGAAATAATTACTATTCATGCTTACGCAAGGTTTTCGTAACTTTTTTAGGAATTCGAAACAGCGTTTCGAAAGGAATCGGAACTGCCCGGAAGGAGACGCCTTATTCTAACTGCCAACGTTGCTGGAGAGAAATACTATGAATCGGCCTATGAAATTAACAAAGTATCAAGGTAGTGGAGTACGTCTCACAATTGTCTTTAGTAAAATCAGCAGTAGCAGCGTAGCGTAGTACTACTACTACTACTACTACTACTAATAATAATAATAATAAAATAATAATAATAATAAAAATAATAATAATAAAAATAATAGTAATAACAATAATACAAGTATAACAAGAATAATAATAATAATAATAATAAAGATAATAATAAAGATAATGATAATTATGATGATGAAGATAATAATAATAGTATTAATAATAATAATAATAATAGTAATAATAATAATAATGTTATTGGTTTATAGGCTAATAATAATAATAATAATAATAATAATTATTATTATTATTATTATTATTATTATTATTATTATTTATTATTATTTATAATAATAATATTCAATTTCAATCAAGTTCCACACTATTACTGTCACTGATAGGGAAAGTGATTAGGATATAATCAAAATATTTGTATTATTTATAGTAATACTGTTACTTATAATATTTTTACGACGTAGGCCTATATATATATTTTTTTACATTTGTTATAATATACTCAAAATGCATATATAAACAAATATATTCAATATAAACAAATATATAAATTAAAATATTAGACAAAACATCAAACATCACATTGAGAACACAAAACTTTAGGCCTATGTATTCAGCAGGTATAGCTACGCGTTTAGAAATAATAAGTGATTTAACATCACAGGAGGAGTGATTACGTAATCAATAATTACATAATTTACTACTAATGTTGTTTTTTTCAGGGCTGTTGATTATTTAACAATCCGTGCATATTCCCTACAAGATCCTGCAGAATTTAAAGCAATCCATCATACCCCGCTCTACCCCGCTATAGGGGACAGTGGTCAACATGAAACTACGGTAGGCACAAATATGCATTTATAATTGACATTTTAGATTAATTTGTCTGGTCAATCCATTCATTCAACCACCTACCTACCTATTCAGTCATTCAATTAGTCAGTAAGTACGGTAGTCAATTAGTCAAAACAATTATTCAATATTTAATATTACAATACAGGTCACTCTCTAAAAGGTTTTAGTGGGTTTTCGCAGCTTTGGTCTCAAACTAAAACATTTTCATTGTAATAACGATTAACGTTCTTTTTTGCCACAGAAAGGAGGTCTCAGTGGTGAATTGGAATTAATTAATTGACTTTAATTAGGAAGAGAGAGGGAGGGAGAGGGAGTGGGAGAGAGACCTGGCATATGATAAACGTAATACGCCAATTTGTAGTTTGAACTGTGCATGCCCGTATCCAATGCCAATCGACATAAACCTTTGTTATGTGTATGTTTATATCGTTTGACCTTAAAACGGGAATGCGCATATTATACTACAAATTGGCTTATTGTGTTTTTACATTCTAAATTCTATTAAAGTATACTGTACAAAGTAAACCATTTCAATATTGATTTTAACTTCAAGGTTTTCACTAACGTGGTAAATTCCTTGAACAGGATATTTTTAATACAGGCTTAAGCCTGCTCCATAATTATTGTTTATATTGTATAATGTTTCTATTAATGTTCTTATGTTAAAATGAAATTCTTTGGATTTCTAATGATATGATGGCAACACTTTACTTCAAGATTTATAATTGTAAATGTTATAAAACATTAGAAATCTGTCTATTCTTGGTAAGTTGTATTGGTAAAATGCAACAAGCGATAATTACAAACAAAACAAAATAGTTAATAAAATATTTAAAAACTTAAATAAAAAATAATAATAAAAAATAATTTGTCTTACTGCAGAGTTATAACATAATATGATTTAACTGATGTAATATTATTACATCAGTTAAATCATATTGGGGAGTCGAGTGGCCGAGCGGTAAAGCAGGGGCGCCGCTAAATTCAACCTTAACATCGGCTCTGGTTCGGACCCCTCCTCGCCCACGATTCGGTTAGTAGAACTCTCTCTTCACGGATAAAGACTTAAGATGGAGGCCCAGTGTACTCATCTGGCTTCATGGGTGTATGCAAGGGGGTCGGGAAGGTCGTACGACCCCTCTCCACAAAAAAAAATTCACATTTTTTCCAAAGACATTTTTTTCTAGGGCCTTAACAGTGACATAAATGAAAAAGCATTGATGAGGTACCAGCAATGAGTCCAAAGACATTGCCAATCGCGCGACGTAATCTACCTCAATTCCAGAAATTCTGAAACTGAGTCTGCCATCCACACATATATGTTTTTTAACCTGTTGTGTTCTTCTTATGTTTCCAATTTTAATGTATTTTAATGTTACTTTTTATCTCCTTTTTATGTCTTGTGCTTGTGTTTGGTTGATGTTTTGATGTTTTATTATTTACCTACTTGCCTTATTTTTGTAAATATCAATTAATTCAGCCTTGTATGCGAATTTGTATAAAGATAAAATTTAATCATATGATTTGTAAAAATGCTATTTTTAATGTTTTTTTAAATTGTGATGTTTGTGTATTGTTAATTAATAATTAATCCTTTGATGTTTTTATATTACTTTCCTTTGATGTTTTTATATTACTGTTATATATACTGTAAGTATCATTTAATTCAGTCCTCGACTGCGATTTTGATATTGAATAAAATAAAATTAAAAAATTAAAAAAATTCGGAAGAGTAGAGGGTTACCCCGATAATGTGGTTCATTTCAGCCCCTGTCGTTGTAGAATGATGTGAACATGTAGCCACAATTAGCACCACTTTACGGGGGCTAGGTAGTAACGGACCTTAAGCAATTCACCACAATGGCCGGTGCTGCGAGTTTTAAGTTATTCTCCTACCTTTACCGTTAAATGTATATTGTAATTGGCGAATATAACTAATTAATATCAACCTAATTACTTAAAAATTATCTGGTTTGTGAAAATGTGCTGTATTCCTGGCTTAAGATCCTTCTTGTTGTGTCCACACACTTGCTAGATTCTTTGTTTCAGTCAGAGTTGGACACAGTTTCTAGCACAATCATTGTACTTGTAACAGAAATATCAGTTAATGGTGATACAAGTAGATTTCTACTTGATCTCCTGTGTGATGGTTGTAGAATTAGCGTTATCCGGGGCCACGTCGAGAACGCTTTAACCATCATCCCAATGGCTTAAGAAAAAAAGGAAATAGAAATAATAATACTTACAGAATGTATTATATACATGTAATTTGGTTACAGTTTTTTTTTTATTTACTCAAGGAGTCTGTAATAAATTTGTGGATTAATGGAGGAGTCCAGTACTCTAAGATTGTTCTCGGTATAGCCACCTTTGCTCAGACATTTACTTTAGCGAATTCAAGCGAGTCGTATGTCGGTGCGCCTACAATTGGACTTGGTAATCCTGGACCGGTTGTAAATGAACCAGGATTGCTATCTTATTATGAAGTAAGTTTCTTAAATTCCTTAAATGAGTTATTGACAATGATTCGGTTGTTACACAATCAATAATATAAACATTATAAAGAGTATATAATGCCAAAATAATCTAGCACGCTATAAATAATATTAAAATACAGACGAAATGAGGGGAATTCCCTTTGCCATGACGAGTATTGATACTAATAATATTCTTTTTTCTAATCTGGTTGGGATCAATAAGTCTTTATTATCACGCAATAACACACTTTGCATGTAATTATGTGTTGCCAAATCAGCATCACCGAAAGCTGTCGGCGAGCGTGCAGCGATTGTACTGAAACCAAACTTAACCTACCTTTATGATATTAGATAGATCTATATGTATGTCCATAGAGGGGATAATATATTTCTTCAATGGTATATCAATGTTTTCTGTATACACCTATATTCTCTTAATAATTTCTGTTAGTAACGAAAACAAATATCGAATGATTTATTTGTTTAGGCCCTAATCATTCTTAGGTATGTATGCTTCTTAACGATAGTGACATTTACTTTGACGATGAACAAATGGCGACGTATGCGGTTCTGGGAGATCAGTGGATTTCATTTGACGATCCTAAGAGCGTTGAAGAAAAGGTAGACTGTCAATAATATAATTTTTATTCATTGTTGAACTTAAGTTCAGAGTTCCGCCAACTTTAAACAACGAGTATAGAACTTCAAGAGGTCCGGCTCTCGTGGTTTTGTTGGAACGTAATCCTATCGCAAAAAGTACTACCACGAAGGGGCGTGTCCTTAAAGAGTTTCGAGCGAACTCTATTCAAATTCTAATAGCCCCCCCCCCTATCTCGTGGCAGTACATTTTTTAATGTTCTATTGCGTGCATACAAAATCAGGGCAGTCGGACCTCCACTGATGCCCCACTTAGATTTAGAGGATTCGAAATTGAGGTGTAACCCAGGGACGTTTTATGCACAGTGCATAAGCTGGAATGAGCTAGGCTTACATCGAGTTTGTTTAGTTGAACATCCTGGTTATATTTAATATTATTGCAAAATAACACGTATTCATGTATATTAATGAAGATAATAATAGTGACAGAGCTAGTTGATTTATGTCAAGTCCGTGACCGACAGGTTTGTCGCGACCCACAATTATTTGGACGTTCCTCCCTTTAGCTGGAATTCTCTTGTTCATGATTATAAAACCAGGAATGGCACCTGGATTTGTCCCGGTCTCCTGCGAGAGCATGTGGGTGGCCAGGGGCTGGCCAGAACCATTAGAAAGAAATCAATGGGAAGAAGCCCCAAAATATTTAACAACATAGGAAAGGCATTTAAGCGATTATTGAGTCCAAGAAGTTTTAGCAATTACATAACAATGTTTTTTTTTCTCCGAGGTGGCGGGTTGGGGAGGCATCTTTCCCTGATGCCTAGCTCCAGACCTCAATAGCGCCACTCCTGAAATAAAATGTACTAAACAAGGACTACCTTGTCTTATATCACAGATTGAATGGGTTAAGCAGAACGGATTCGCAGGAGTTGCTATTTGGTCGATGCCACTAGATGATTTTACAGGTAGCTCTTGCCACGACGGAGAATTGCCTTTGAGCAGCACCGCCGTGGATACACTGTTCACAGGTATAAGTCTGAAAATACGGTATGTAGGTCTATTCTGTA